GCACTGTTGAAATTAAAATTACTGCTACAGCAGCGTTATTAATAGGAGTTAAAAAGAGGTCGACAAACATGTGACCACCCATAACATGCTGATTCACTGAGAACGCCCAGGAAGAAAAACAAATCGCTAAAGTCCTTAAACAGTGCAAACAGTACAGAGATCAAATAGAGGAAATAACAAGATCCCGCCCTTAATTCATCTTATATATCAAAACCTAATTTTAGCCTACAGCATTTCTTGATTTTATCGACTAATCGAACATTAAAACCGAGGAACTTTGATCCCACGTTCCTGTACAAGAAGTTTCCATCTTTTTGCTGTTACTACATCATGAACTTTCTTGCAACGCGAATGGAAATATAACAATATGAACGAAATAGAAAAAGAAAAACAATAACAAATTACTGTCGGCGAACTTCCTTATTACTCACAGGAAAAATACAGATAAAAACCTGTCCACACACTAGAGGAAGAAACTATACTTAAAACTGAAGGCAAGGTTGATCAACCAGAAATCAGCGACTTTTTTCCTCTCCCCAGTCTCCCTACGACACAGAGAGGTTACTACGGAGGAGAGAAATATCTCTGTATGAGCTCTGTATGGCTTTCGGTTTTAAAGTGTTTTCATTTCAGAATGTCTTCTTGGGCAGAATGTTTGTTCTTAAAGGAATTGATGAATCAGAGAAGTCATTAGAGAAATCAAATAAAGGTTGCAGCAACACCTTCGAACTTCCGTTTCGATTCTTGCTGCACAGAAACGCTTGCTACGCAGGCTACCTGAAATAAAATCTACGCGTCCGATACATCTAGAAAGCCGCTTCAATCCTGCCTAGTGTTTCATTCAATTCTCGATCTTTTACTGAAAATCTCTTTTTGAGCAAACTTTTACTCATCCTATAACATTATTTTATCATATTTGGTTAAAAAGTATTCAAAGGAACGTGAACAGAAGAAGTGAGAAACGCGTAGGCGCCGGGCGGGAGAAATCACCTTCGTTTACCAAAATAACAAGAGAAGTGAATCAGTAACATTGACGAGCAAATAATCGTTATTTCTATTTGGGAAATGGATGGAAAAGATTACATACATTTGGAAAATCAAGTGTTCTTGACCATGAACCTTCCACACAGTACAATCACTCATCACTCAGACTTCGTGTAATTTCTCACCTAGCTCTACTGATGTTCGGATTCGGAAGTATTTGTTGATGTTTGGCTTCCCTGGAAAAATCCATCGGTGAATTCTCAATGGTAGTTAAAAATTGAGTGCTCTGATGTGGCTTAGCGCTTATAATCACGATTTCGGCTTGTAACTAGTTCAACTCTACAAGGTTTGTTTAGAGTATTCCGCATACGCTTTTGTTTCATGCGCGTCTTGTGACATGCAAATCAGCTAAGAAATGGTATTTAATGCGCATGTGCATTAGCTGACTGTTTCAGAGTTCCGAAGTGTAACGTCATAGAAAATGAAATTTGTGAAATTATGGGATTTGTTAAGATATTCTGAAAGAACAACCTCTAAGACGCCTACTCGCCAAAAATTAGCAATAAAGAAAGTCTAACGTTCTTACGTTCCTGTTCTGTTTTCAAAAAAGCTTCGAATCTTTTTTATTCTGGCAAGAGCCATTCATTACAGCTATCCATACTACATGGTTTTCCCGCAAAATGTCATTTCGCGAGGAACAGTGGTGGCGTCGCGAAGGTCCGCTGTTTTCTCAGTAGCTTTTACGCTGGATAAAAGTAAAAGGAGGCCTTCGAAAAGGACACAGAGGTACATATTAAATTACAACGGTTGTAAGAACAGCCCCCACAAAACTGCGCACAAAATTATTATCCAGGCGCTGAATTCTCCTCTTAGCCTCAGGCATTTTATTAGGTGGCCAATCATGTGTACGATAGGCTGAGCAGTTTTGATTGACGTTATATAAATTTTAATATGAATGTACGTAGTTTCACTTGAATTCATTTATCTGAAAGATAGCCAACTGCAGCGGCAGACGACCTCCTTTCCAGAGAAACACCATGATGGGATTCATGATGCTTTCGGTGTTCATCATCGTCAATGCGGTGTTTTGGTGCTTAAAAAGTGTTTATACACTCAATCGCCGTGGCCCTGAAGAGAATATATGCGAGTGTGATGCATGTCAAGCAGGTGAGCTCAGTTGTCTGTTGCGCGCTCTGTTAGTCGGCAGAAGGATTATTATTGGCCCGTTTAGTAAAAGCTGCTCCACGGCAAAGTTCTCAAATTTTGAAATTATGAACAAGTATGACACTGAAATACTTAGAAGCAAACCCGCGCAAAAACAGCTAGGTTCCTTTTTAACGGATTTTACCCTAAAAAGGTCACCTAGAATTTTCGGGAGCCTTTTATCTGGCTAAAATTTTCGAAAAGGGAAGTTTTGTTCCATAGAATTTTCCGATTACTAGACTTTCAGGTAGGAAATCCGAACAGATGAAAAAATAAACAGGCACAATCTCCTTCTTGCAATCGTGGCACGAAGGAAGAGATAGCATTCCTAACGTTATCATAACCATTAATGCCAAAGCTGCCAAACCGACGAAAAACCCAATAAAAGCTAGGATTTTAAAGAGGGTAGAACAACGATCTCTGTGGTATCCATCGGAGGAGTAAGAATCGTCTGTGAAGGTTCTTTTGCGCCCTTTTGTCTGCTGTAAACGAGACACTCGTTTCCTTCCCATAGCGACACAATGTCATCTTCCCTGAGCCGGTCTTGCCTGGTTTTCCATCTGAACCATCGTCGGCTTTCTATGAAATTAATGGGCAGATCCAGTAATGCATGATACACTGAGCGCGACCCTCGCCTGCAGCAAACACAGTTGAAACCCCTCTGCACTCGCAGGCGTAATGTCTTACTTTCTGATCATTTTGCTCAGTTATCAAATTATATTCCGAAGTTCCAAGCGTCGAACAAGTAACCCCCATCATTCTGTATCCTTTTGGCTCAGTAACGATCACGTTTTGTCCATTGCCATACCTCTCTGCTGTAAACGAGACACTCGTTTTCTTCACATAGCGACACAATGTCATATTCCCTGAGCCGGTCTTGCCTGGTTTTCCATCTGAACCATCGTCGCCTTTTGGACCTGGTAGCCCATGAATCCCTGGCGGACCTCGTGGACCAATGAGCCCGCTGATGTTAAAATCTGTGTTCAGTAGAGACGAATACTGGCTGAGTTGTTATCCTTTCCAGTTCTGCGATCTTGTTCGTGTGTTCCAAATCGCGTCTCTGAAGTTGCGAGATCATGTCGTCTTTCCCTCTAACTGCCACACTCAATCTGCTCACGTTTTCTCTTAATTCTTTGATAATTTGCCACAATTCTTCCGTTGATCCAAAAGCTTCGGAATTCGAGGAAGAACCAGGCACAATCTCCTTCTTGCAATCGTGGCACGAAGGAAGAGATAGCATTCCTAACGTTATCATAACCATTAATGCCAAAGCTGCCAAACCGACGAAAAACCCAACAAATAGAACAACGATCTCTGTGGTATCCATCGGAGGAGTAAGACTCGTCTGTAAAGGTTCTTCTGCGCCCTTTTGTCCCAACAGGCTCATAGGTTTCGTTGATCTTCTTTCTTGGTCTTTTGTTGCTCGATTTGCTCGGTTCGGGGATGGGTCTTCCTCGACTCGTACTGATCCGCGCTTTTAGTCTAACGTAAGGTGAGTGATGTCGAAGTGGCATTCTCGCTTGAAATTCTGGATCGTGATCATCGTCCATCGCAAAAACGCTATCAGGAGGCGTAAATGCTCTGTTTGGGAACAGTTCTGATCTAGAATTGACGCTGTCCATTACCAGTAAGTGCCTACAACGTGTTACAGTCTTGTAACTAAAACTTAATTTATGATGGACAATGTTATACTCAACTGTTGGACTTGTGCACATTGACGAAGCAAACGGATAATTCATTGTGATTGTTCTTCGCGAGAGGATAGATAATGTTTATGGTAACTTGAGATGGGTAAATGCGTAGTGGTTTATCTGGCCCCACCGACATCAGGATCGTGAGGTGTAGTATACCTTCGCGGTATGTAATGACTGATCAGAGACCACGCGGTCGATCCAAGCGTTGTGATATTTATGATTTGTGTGAGTGCTAAGGTCACGCTCTAAAGCTTTCCCATTCATAAGCCACAATAGGCCTACAGTACGAGGAATTTAAAGACCGTCCTTTCAATTTCGTCAACAAAGCTTTGGAGTCTTCTTGGAGTTCATTTTCCCCGCTAAGATCACTTAAAGGCATGACTATCTAATTAAATATGCAGACTTTGATAAAATGCTATTTAGAACTCGGTTTGCTTCTATCAATGATACTGTATGTAGCTTAATGACCTCAGCAATATGAGTGCATTTTAGAAGCATAAATTTTCGTCACGCGACTGATAATTGAGAATTAACGGTCAAAATATTTACTCTAAAATGGGGAAAGGATAATGAAAGAGAAACAAGTTCTTTTAGGTACATTTCAGAGGCTATTAAAAAGGTTCTTATAAATTCACCTTGTATGTGTGTTTACGTTATATAGGAATCGGTAAATAAAGGGAAAAGGGTCACGTGACTTATTAATTAGTTAAATAGCTAATAGGATAAATAACATTTCCACTCATTCAAAGCGAATTTACGATTTCTGTTTATGTAACATTTTGGTCGTGAAAATTCCTAAGATTAGGGTTTGCAACCCTTCCCGACGAAGCGATGTCACGTGTTATTTGAAATTACATTCCACGTGTTTTTTTCGTTGAGCCACCTTCGTAGTTCACAATTCCTGAGCGCCATTTCTCATCTTTGCATCTAATTATGAAATTTTCGAAAAGGTAAATTTTCATCCCTAGAATTTTCGGATCACTAGACTTTCAGCTAGGAAACGAATGAAATGATGAAAAATTTTTAGGGGATAAAAATATGCCTATATCTACCGTCTAAATACTAAAATACCTTTCAGACCTTTAACAATGCTATGTCTAAGTAGTTTTGAACTATATTCTCGTTGGGTGTCCCTGGCGGGAAGACAAAAGCTAAACACAGCCCATCGACCGAGAAATAGTGCCGAAGAGAATTCCTAGAACCCTTCTTGCGCGCAATCTTTTCCTTTGTTTTTCTAATTTGTCTGGCCACGCACTAAACTAGACGATGATGTACGACTCATGACAACCGTACGTTACGCTGTTTTCACCAATATATTTAACAGTGGAGGTTTATTATCACGTTTTTTTAACTGCTAGTTTGCTTTCCTTTTGTTACAGAACTAAAAGAACACGTAAGCATGACGATTTCGGTTCTGGTTCAGTACTGACTAGATGCTGGGGTCAGCAGAACACCGCGTAACAATTGAAGATTCCTTTATTGTTAAAATTTATTTAAGTTATGTTGAAATTTGTGTCTCTATGTGCATGGAATCTGTACATAAAAAGGACAGTACTGGACGATCAAGTTCTTATGGTGCAAAACTATAACCATCAGTACTGTACAACTTTGAATTACCTTTGAATTACCTTTGATGTTACTTTCGATGTCAACTACGAAGTTTAATCTACGAGCAATAATTAAAGAAGCTTAAGATTAGAGAGATTTGGATCAGTCCAGAGTTCTTACAGCTGTGCTGTTCTGCTAACTAGGACTGGACTAACTAAGAGACGACGACCCTGTACCTCTGACATTTGAAGTAACGTGTGCCTTGAGCGAGCGAGCCAGTGCTTTACGACAAATCAGCTTCGTAAACAAGGAGATAAATGTCACTTGAAATTGAAGAGGCCTTGGTATCTATCAGGCGAAATCGTGCCGAATTGTTGAGACCAGCTATGTTTGCCAGCCAATTTCAGTCTATGATTCTTGGTTACAACACTGAAGATTTCATTACACCTTTTATGTCCACTATGCTAGGCGTACTGTCCGTACTGCAATAATTGAAAATGAAATGTTGTGATACAAGGTATAACCATTTAGAATTTATAATCTAAAACCGTACTTATTCTAGAGGAAAATACAAGAAAACAATACAAGAGGTGAAGAGATTTTTGTTGTATTGTCCTGCTTAATTACGTCTTAAACCAGGCCTGGTCTTAAACAGTGCAAACAGTACAGAGACCAAATAGTCGAGGAAATAACAAGATGCCGCCTTTAATTAATCTTAAATAATAAAACCTAATTTTAACCTACAGAATTTCTTGATATTATTGACAAATCGAACATTTCAACCGAAAAACTTTGATACCACGTATAAGAAGTTTCCGTCTTTTTGCTGTTACTACGTCATGAACTTTCTTGAAACGCGAATGGAAATATAACAAAATGAACGAAATAGAAAAAAAAAACAATCACAAATTACTGTCGGCGAACTTCCTTATTACTCACAGGAAAAATACAGATAAAAAGCTGTCCACACACTAGAGGAAGAAACTATACTTAAAACTGAAGGCTAGGTTGATCAACCAGACATCAGCGACTATTTTCCTCTCCCCAGTCTCCCTACGACACAGAGAGGTTACTACGGAGGAGAGAAATTATCTTTGCATGAACTCTGTATGGCTTTCAGTTTTAAAGTGTTTTCAATTCGGAATGTCTTCTTGGGCAGAATGCTTGTTCTTAAAGGAATTGATGAATCAGAGAAGTCATAGAGAAATCAAATAAAGGTTCCTGCAACACCTTCGAACTTCCGTTTCGATTCTTACACCTGGCAACGGCGGATGTCTTTGTTTCTTTCGGTTTTCTGTGATAAGGATCAAAAAATGAGAATATAGAATTTGCTAGCTTTCCTGTGGCCTGCTTGGACAGCGGCCAAAAGTCGCAAAGAAAATTAACCAGACAAAAAGTGATTCATGCTAAATTATATATATAAATTCTATTTTGAGTGAATCTACTAGCCAATGGCTTCATTGAAGAGAAAGTGACTAGAAGAGGGTGATTTCTGTTTTAGGTTTCTGTTAATAGTCCTGTGTCAATTCAGAAGGAACCGTCCGATTTAAAACCCACTGAGGCATACGAGCCATTTGAAATAGAGATGGTTTTCAACAAATCCAGAGAGATGAGATAATGAATATATTTATTTCATATATAGAATGCAGAGGGTGTAGAGGGGGTGCACTCGTCTCTTGCTCTACTTCAACACCAATAAACCAGATAGTTTTCTTTTTTTTGCAGAATACCAGTTGTAATAGAAAACCGCAGGTCATCTCAGTGGGGGTGCGCACCCCCTGCACCCCCCCCTTATATCCGCCCCTGAGTAATCCTCTACGTATAGATTTTTGTAACAGCTCATTTGCAGCAATAATAATAATAATGAGTTTATTTATATTTATACAGCCTTATTTCACTAAATGCTCATAACGATTTACAAATCATTATGCAAAATCTCTGCTACGAAATCTATTTACAATGAGTAATCTAGAAACAAAAACTGATTACATATAATTGGCAAATTAACTAGGAGTAATCGGAGCTTAGAAGAGTGCGTTCCATATGTTTGTAAGGCGTACGTACAGGTAATTAGGGTTTGCGTTGACGTACCTCGAACGCAAAAATCCAGGCATAAAGAGTGTTGTTGTTGTTTTTGTTAATGTTGCGGTTGACGTTCATGCATTTTCAAAACTGTGTTGCCCTAAAAATCGTCTCTGCGAATCGTCCCGTGTAACATTACCATAAATTAAGCGGCCAATAAAAGAACAAAATAGAAATAAAGAAAAATCTCATTTTTTATTTCTTAGTGTTTGTCAGTTTTGCACGCAGTACATTCTTACGTAACCCAGATGTGAAGGGCATGGTCATTCACATGATCACATAAGCAGGACCTCCTGTGCCAAGTTGTTAGGGAGCAGTGCTTCCTAGTTATTCCCTGTAAAACGGTACTTTTCTTTCTTTTTGTAGGACGTGCCTTTTTTCAGTTTCCAGCTGAGAAACAGTAATTTAAAACAGTTTTTAAATTCTGTGTTAGAAATAACTCACGTTTCACTTTTGGGTATGGAGGGAGAGAAGCGACGACCGGAAATACGTCTGCTCTTCGCAGGTTAGCTTAAGCCCAGCTTCTTCTACGCTATTAAACAAGCATTATCGACGTCTCCTGTGTACGGCCGAGTAATTATAGTTTTGGCTTATGTCTCTCAGCTAAATCAAACCGCTACATATCACTGGCCTTCAATTTTTTCATCCTCCTCAAAGAGCTCTTAGATCTTAGATCCCCTTATAGCACTGATTTCCTTGCGTCTACTCCAGAATGTTCCCTCAAATTTGATGACTACTTCCCAGCATGAAGCATGCGGGAATACCACGATCAGCTGAGAAAAAAAAAACATCTTTAACCTTCTACATCCAACACTGAGTCGATAACAGTCAATGTAGAAGGAAAGTACAGTTTTTCTTTGGAGTCTAAAGATACTAAAAAATCATAAAGGCCCAGTGTGACTTTTCAAAGGATACCTATTCAGAAATTCTTTCGTATGGCAGTATGTATTTTTTGTATTTTTTGTATTTTATATTACATGAAGGCATGAGCGGAAGCCATTTCGGGGACGTGAGGGTAAAAGATGTACCACAAAGTTGTGAAAAAAAAAAAAATCCGGCCTTTTAACTATACTGATTCATGAAAACGCCCGGGAAGTGAAACAAATACTTCCCGAAAATTTAATCCGAATTTATCTCAGAATTACCATCACTCTGCAAAATCACATGAGTACTGAAAAATTTTATCAATATTTACATAAAAAAAAAAGTTTCTTCGCCATTTGTAGGGTTGCCTTACTTTTTAAAATCATTTCCTTAAAATGGGTTACAAGGGGTTGCACATTTAGAAATGAAGAGAGCATAAGTTAACGGACACTTGGTATTGTAGTTATAAACCTTCATTGCGTGCACTTGACACTGCGGCCACAGTATGAACAGCAAAAGGTGAACCATTTTAGCTGTAGGTGCGCCCTTGCCGAATTTCCGTTAATAGTATTCTACAATGGTGCGATTTGAGCATTAGTCGCGGAAGAGCAAAAGCCGGCACATGTTTGGTATCCGTTGTGTACATTGAAAAATAGAAACTGAAAATAGAATCAAAATAGAATTGCTTTCGTAACTGGGTGCGGGTTGTTTGGTTATTTTTATAGCTTGATCTTGTGTTAGTTAAGCAATTTAGCCTTCCTTATTACGAGAAATCTAAACAAAATAAATTTGATATAAAAACAACTTTTATTTCAGACAGATTACGAAACATGCCGGTATATGATCATTTAACTTGCACACCATCAAATCTCAACACCCCACGCACTCAAATTAGATTAGTTGTGTCTTTCTTTCGCCAGTGAAGCATTGCTTAACGTAGACGGCGCGATGTTATTTTAAAAAATACCTTGCTATGATCTCTGAATTCTTGGAATGTGGTGGCATGTTCCAGAAATCAATGATGCTTTGTGCTTTATAACCGCCGCGTGTTACTCTCGCTCTTCGCATTATTTATTATTATTATTTTAGAGTAACGTACTGATACATTCCTTAGTTTTTCATTAAGGGAATGCTATACCAGGAGATTTCTCTCGTCTTGGCATAACTACGGTCAACAATTTCTCTCTGTCTTTCCCTTTTTGTGAATGTTCAGTGCATTCTTGAAAAGACAACTTTTGCTAGACATCAGCAGATCTTTATTCTCCCCTTACCGTATTTGGCAGTGTGGAAAGCAAAAGAGGGCATAACTGTCTATCACAGAGTAAGATATAAAAGTTCCCTTTTTCTTGGAACCCTATTTATTTTTAAACGATCACGAGATGCAGCCATTGGATTCATTTTTGAATGGGTCTCTGTTTAGGCGCGGTCAAAGTGTAAATAACATAAATCATAAGCAAAGAATGGCCCAGCTCCTTGAAAATGTAACATGATGTTTTTAATGCATAATGAGGAGGCGGTATTAATATCTGAAGAGGGCAAAGACTCTTGGGCGGGGTGGGGGTTTGAATCAGGCAAGATAAAGTTATTTAGGGATTGATAAAAAACGCAGGCGGCTGGAATCTCAATGAGCCTTTCAGGGAGCTGTGTGGTTAGTTAAAATCCCAACATCAGTGGCATAAAAAAGTATGATGAACCATCTTAAATGATGCTGTTTTCATAAAGCATTATTTCTATGCGGTACTTGAAAAAGATAAGACATTTTAAATTGGACTTAATAAACTCCCTTTCCTGTTATACGTCCCACACAATGGAGGAAATTAATAAACAGGAAAAACTCAGTGCGCGATCAAATAATTTTGCGGTGTGATGCTTCAAGCTGCGCAAATATTTCATTAGGAAAAATCGTGTCAATTATTTTCAGAAAGACGCGTAAGCTCAAAAGGAACTCAAAGTTTCCCTTATGATTCAGAGAAAAAAAACACCTGAAATGAACACTGTGCTTGTTAGCTTTTCTCTCTAGCAAAAGTTCTTATTAATCCCATAATGGGTCAAGGTAACCTGGTTGAGACAGGCGGGGTTGATCATTAAACACACCGGCTTAACCTGATGAGAAATTCGTTGATGAATGAGAGAGGGATATCCGGAATTTCACCTTCTTTTCTCACAATTCCTGACAATTCCCTATTTCTTTAGTAGTGAAATAAACTTGGGATACACCCCTAGGCTTTGGGGTTGTTCGCATTCACTTGCAATGTCTGTTGATCTGTAGCTTGGAAATGCCTGAAAAGAGCTTCACTAAAGCGGCCCAAGACCGAAGGAAGGCGTTTCCTAACCAAGCTAAGAGAATTCTAGTTCTAATTCCACTTAGCGGATAGACACCCCATAGACACATCCTAATAATCAACAGCAATCAATTAATGAAGTGGTTTTTCAAGCGACAAGATTGGGCAGATGCTCTGGCTTCTCTGTCATCTTCAACTTTCTTCACCACAGTTTATTTGAACAAAAACCTGTAACTTACATTTACAACCCTATATCATGTATGGACATTTTAATTATGTTGGGCTTTAACTTTAAATATATTTTATCACGCGATCGATTGTCGTGTCGATGTACAACATAAAAGAACCAATATCATGGTTTTTATTATTATAATTAAATTGTTATAAACTATAGATGGTCATGCAAGTGCATGTACGCAATCAAATCATTGCCAAGCAATGGTTAGTATGCACTTTGACTTTCCGTCAGAAATTTAATCATCAACGCCTCCGATTAAATGGATAATCATTGAATCAATGGATAACTACAACTATTCGCCTCTAATATTTAAAGAAATTGCTGAATTCCTCCCTAAGGTGATATTCACAATACTATGATAAGTGAGCGAGTATTTTTAACATCGACATTCCTAACGAGTAACGTCAATTGAATTTACAATGGCAGCGACATTCCCGCTTAAAATACTGACAACATGTAACTTGATAAGTAAATAAAGTAATTTCCCACAAGTCCGACATGATACTGGCAAACTTACAACATTGAATTTCGTGGTTTTCCCGGAATTGCGCACGGCATACTATTTTACAACATACAATTAATGTACCCTGGTAATATAAATTACATTAAATTCACTGAACTAAAACGCGTTGTATTCAATACTTTTCACCTCTAAAACCGCACCTTTGATGGCTCAAGGAGAAAGCATTGTCCTATCTTTTGCGTCTGTGGATCGCTTCACTATGGTTTATGTAACTGAGCAGTGCAATGCCTTCGACTCGGCTGTAAATTTTTATAAAAGTCTTACCGAATTTTACTTAACTGAAACTCTTCTGCCTTCTCTGTTTTTGATCGCGTCTTTAAGTGAAAGTATATAATTAATATCTTCCAGTTTCTATGAAATTAATGGGCAGATCCAGTAATGCATGATACACTGAGCGCGACCCTCGCCTGCAGCAAACACAGTTGAAACCCCTCTGCACTCGCAGGCGTAATGTCTTACTTTCTGATCATTCTGCTCAGTTATTAAATTATATTCCGAAGTTCCAATCGTCGAACAAGTAACCCCCATCATTCTGTATCCTTTTGGCTCAGTAACGATCACGTTTTGTCCATTGCCATAACTGTCTGCTGTAAACGAGACACTCGTTTTCTTCACATAGCGACACAATGTCATATTTCCTGAGCCGGTCTTGCCTGGTTTTCCATCTGAACCATCGTCGCCTTTTGGACCTGGTGGCCCAGGAATCCCTGGTGGACCTCGTGGTCCAATGAGCCCGCTGACGTTAAAATCCGTGTTGTTAGAGACGAATACTCGCTGAGTTGCTATTCTTTCCAGCTCTGCGATCTTGTTCGTGTGTTCCAAATCGCGTCTCTGAAGTTGCGAGATCATGTCGTCTTTCCCTCTAACTGCCACACTCAATCTGCTCACGTTTTCTCTCAATTCTTTGATAATTTGCCACAATTCTTGCGTTGATCCAGAAGCTTCGGAATTCGAGGAAGAAGCAGGCACAATTTCCTTCTTGCAATCGTGGCACGAAGGAAGAGATAGCATTCCTAAGGTTATCATAACCACCAATGCCAAAGCTGCCAAACCGACGAAAAACCCAACAAAAGCTAGGATTTTAAAGAGGGTAGAACAACGATCTCTGTGGTATCCATCGGAGGAGTAAGACTCGTCTGTGAAGGTTCTTTTGCGCCCTTTTGTCCCAACAGGTTCATAGGTTTCGTTGATCTTCTTTCTTGGTCTTTTGTTGCTCGATTTGCTCGGTTCGGGGATGGGTCTTCCTCGAATCGTACTGATCTGCGCTTTCAGTCTGACAGGGTCTTCATAATGGTGGGTGTCGTCAGTGATGACTTTTCCGTTCATATTTTCGTAAGATGAGTGATGCCGAAGTGGCATTCTCGCTTGAAATTCTGGATCGTGATCATCGTCCATCGCAAAAACGCTATCAGGAGGCGTAAATGCTCTGTTTGGGAACAGTTCTGATCGAGAATTTACACTGGCCATTACCAATAAGTGCTTACAACGTGTTACAGTCTTGTAACTAAAACTTAAATTATGATGGACAATGTTATACTCAACTGTTGGACTTGTGCACTATGACGAAGCAAAAGGATAATTCAGTGTGAGCGTTCTTCTCGAGAGGATAGATGATGTTTACGGTAATTTGAGATGGGTAAATGCGTAGTGGTTTAACTCATCCGGCCCCACCGAGATGAGGATCGTGAGGTGTAGTATACCTTAACGGTATGTAATCGACTGATCAGAGACCACGCGGTCGATCGAAGCGTTGTGATATTTATGATTTGTGTGAGTGCTAAGGTCACGCTCTAAAGCTTTCCCATTCATAAGCCACAATAGGCCTACAGTACGAGGAATTTAAAGACCGTCCTTTCAATTTCGTCAACAAAACTTCCGGAGTGGTTTTGTTCATTTTCCCGCTATTTTTCATCTTTGCATCTAATTATGGTCAATTATTAAAGTATGCAAATCGTCCCATCCCAAAGAGAAAGTAGATATGCCTAAGGTCACTTATGATCTCTGATCTGTCAATCATTCCGACCAAAGTCCGGGACCCTTGGTGGCGTGACAAACCACCCTGTAATTACCAACCCTTGGGGCGCATTTTTAAGCAAATTGCTACAACGTAAAGAGCTCGTGTCATTGAATGTTTCTGCGTTAACGCAGACCATAAACTCCTTTATTTATTTAATACTTGACGTTCATCCAAGCTTGAAAAGTAATTGTAATATCGTACGATTTATGAGCACAAGCATTTGTCGTATACCAATCAAGAAGGATTCACTTAACAATAGGCTGTTAATACGACGGAGCCGAGGGATTCTACACCGGTTATGAAGGACGATTAGAAACCCGCAATCGCTCAGACGGGGGCAAAATGGCAAGAAAATCATTTGGCTTTCAGCATGAGGGAAACACAGAAACAAGAGGAGTGCAAGTTGAGACAAAACAACCAAAATTGACAAAGGCTTCGTCACAAAACACCGCGAGAATACACTCAGCAATTGAAAATGGCAAGCAAACGTTGTTGCCATGCGAGACCCAAGGGCAGAATCTCTTCAAGTTTGAACATAACGGTCGCGATGGACCTCTTTTAGTTTTTGTCCAAGAAGCTTTGCATTCCTTCAACAAGTTTGGACGATACAAGGTGATTGCGGCTTTAAAGCCTGCGGATAGTCTTCGCAATCAGTTGTTCTTTGCAAAAGAAATAACAAAAACAAACAAAGAAGTGTTAACAGACAGTGGAAATTCACACATTGATGTTAAGCACATTTCTAGCTCAACAGTCACAAAAGAAACACCTGTTCAAATGGATAATAGTGGATTTATCGACAGAAGTGGAAATCTCTATCGTGGGAGCAAAAAGGCAGCGAAGACTCGTCAAACGAACCCGGACTCATTTGAACAGTTGATCGAAAGGTATAAGTCTAGGAGAGTTATGTACAAAGACCTTATGGGAACTCGGGAACACTTTGAAGTGCTGGACAAGCTAGATGGCTTGTACAGGCAACGAAAACAGGAGAGATTAAAGCTTCAGGAACAGTTTAGCAATCTTGGTGCAATAAGAACCGAAATAAATATCTCAACGGGTTTAAGAGACCATGTAAAAGACTTAGAAGATACGAGTAAAGAAGCTAAAGATTCGGTTAAGCTTCCCAGGATTAGAGTGTCCACAGTAGCGGAGATCCACAAGAGAGATTCGCGACGGCAGATCGACAAAAAACGTTTAGTGGTCCCCAAAGAAAAACGTACCGGGACTATGAAGTTAAGTAAATTTGAGGGCCGTACGAGCGACGGACAAGACTCTTCAAGTTACGAAACAATCACGGTTACTTTGCCCAAACTGACCAATCCAAGCTATGGAAAGTCTGTCAAAAAAACTCATTAGCACAGCAATAAGAACGTGCTCATCTAAGTGTTAAATCTGTGATCGAAGTCACAAATCTCTAAGTAAGAACTCAGAAAGAACTTTTAAGTTCTTTTTCCTTCTCGTGCGTGAAATGTTTAAATCTGTTAAACTTAATAAACTCAGTAAAAGATTAGAAGTATGCCTAAGCACAACAAGAACTAAAGTCTTAAAATAGCTTTACAGCTATTCCGGTAATCACTGACAATGAAAACAACTCCCGGATACCATAGTTATTGACTTTTCAAAGGAGATTTCACGATTTGCGTGTCCCTAAAATTCTAGAAGCAACATCAGATCGCTGTATGGGGGTTAGAAGTTCTGCCAAAATAGACAAAGGATTCCTTTATCACTAATCACAGAGAGAACAATAAACAGATTTATGTGTTTATATGGAAATTACGGTATGCTGCAACTAAAACGGCTCCTGCGGCAAATTGCTAGGGTAATATAGAAAAAAAATGCAATATTTATTTCATAAAACAGAGTAAATGATGTGAAAAAAAATCAAAGAAATTTGAAGTTAATAAAATATTGATACATAAATGGTACCTTTGTAACCGAGAAAGTTAATTTTATTTTATGAATTATCGAAAGACAGTACCGCAGCCAAATTCTTTTTGTATTTTGCGGAATTACTTAACAAGTGGTCTGGAAAGCAGTCCAAGAACTGTCAGGATGCAAGACCGTTCAAATAACTCCCACTAAATTTGTTCAAAAATTTTATACCCTGTGAACACGAACAAGAGAGAACTTTGCTTAACTGCAGAATAAATGTAAAGTGAAAATCAGAATTCAATTAAATCTTGATTTCTCAACCAGCGGAATTTTGCTTGATAAGTGATTCAACGATGTTTTCCTTCCTTGTTCAAATCAAGGAAACTCGCTAATTTAATCTGCAAAACAAAAGACTGAAGTGAATTTTTCGTAAAGAAATAAGCAGATTCTAGATAAAATGGTCTTAGTACAATAAAATGTCGAAAGTCTGCAAATTGTCGCTTCGGTCTGTCGAATTTATACTCACAAATAACCACTTGTCAAGAAATATGTGTTGTTCGTGCACATCCAATTTAATGCGGTTGGATTATAGTTTTAAGTCTGAAAACAGCTGACGAAAAGACCTTGTCTGGCTACCCCAGCGGGGTTTCTAGGTCTTTGCAAAGCTCTCCACTGCTAACAAATGAGCTCATTTCAACGCACTTTGCAACATTTTCTTGATCGTGCTGGTGAGCATGTGAATTTAATTGTCTCCAATTACGTCATACACGTTCTTTCCTCTCGCATTCACGTACTGCCGATTGATTTCTGCGGAAATTTTTTGGTGTTTTTGCCTGTTTCTTAAAACATTTTAAGTGTGAAAAAGTCTTTTCCTGTTTTCCGCATCTGACTACACGTACTTGTGCTAATTTCCTCCCAGTAAATCAACTGGAAAAACAACATTTTGTATACAATGAGCAGAACAACAGACGAGCAACCGTCTTCGAGAGACTAAGGTACAAACGAGTTTTTAAAGTTTGGTGTACCTTCGATACCCATTGTCCAAAACTAATAAAGTTATAAAAAATGGTTCCTTTTTTTACTTTTTTTGGCACTTTTCCATTTACGACATCGGATCTACGCCTTGGTTCTTGGTTATGGTGGCCAGCAGGCGATAAAGAGACCTCGAGTCCTTCTAGTACTTCCCCTAACACAGCAAAAATCTAACTGTGCAAACTCAGTTCCTGAGCTTCTATGGAAGTATATTCTCTATAAATCTTTAGATTTCTGATGAGGAAGTTTCTTGATTCCTTTCTTTCAATCGAAGAGTTCGATTTTTACAAGAACGTTCCACATAAACACAAAAAGTCGTATACAACACCTCAAAACTCGCAAAGATACAGATTACTGCATTAAGAAAAAAAGCACTGAATTTCTGCACTGACTGAAAATTTTGCACGACTATTTCATCAACATACGAGCACGATAGGCACATTTCGCAATCAATATAAACAAATAAAATTTCCCAATCTGCATCAACATACGGATTATTTTCTCTTTTCAAGCAAAGCTGCAAAGCAGTGGAATCTGAGGTACCCGAAAGTTGTCAAATGTCCATTAGCTTTGTGACCACTTGTTAACTTATTTGAGTATAAACCAACCAAATGAAACACGCCACTAAAACCATCGGACATATGCCAGGAGTCTTATAGAGTTGATGAAATGAAAAACAAAATTCATTGAAATGAAAAAGTCATCAGCCAAACGTCACGAAGCAGAAACACCATTCACAATTCCATAACAATGAAAAACCACAAAGAAATGAAGCGATGGAACAAATACAAAGTTTGGTCGATTGCCTTTTTTAAGTCGACGAGAAAATAAGGTTTTTAGTTGTCCACAATAAACGCGGTACAAATTTCGTAAAATATAAACGGGTGCAGAAGGTCAGTGAAGGTCTTATTCACCAATGCAGAAACTTGGGGAACTGGGAACAAGCTATTTTCTTCTTTTGATCACCAGAGTTCACCAGAGAGAGTTTTCCCGACAGTTTTATTCATTCACGTGGTTTTTGAACTGGTTTTTGAGGAAACTATTGACCAATCACCGCCCATGTTGGTAATCTAAAACGATTCGAGAACCTTAAGCGCCAAACCTTGTGGAATGTTAAGAACGTTTTTGTTTCGTGTTAGTTGGGTTTTCATCTGGTGCTTGGAATAATAGTAATGAGCAGCATAGTAATGAGCAGCCAAAATAGTGTGCATGAAAATAAAGTATAGTGTGTACTAATATATATGACATCGAATGCGTAGGCTTCACTTATAGATTTAGCTGGCCATAATGAGGGATGTTATGGCAGCTTAAGATGTGTTCACAGGTGTATAAAAGGAACCGCTTTCAAAAGATTAAGGACCGTGACGCTTTTACGTTTTAGACCGTAGAAAGGAACGTATTATCAGACAAGTATCAGCAATTATCGAACCCGGAACTACAACCTGATATCTTTCATACTCCTCTACTGAAATACACTCAAAGATTAATAACGTAACCTAAATTCGAATTGTACAACAAAACTTGTATGCAGGATTCAAGTTCTATCACGTTCTATCTTTAAAAGTTTCAAGAAACGAAAGGAAAAGGCTTTAAAATGCGCGTGACTGTTTAATTCTGCGGTTTGTCATCTTATACATTTGGCGACTATAAGGTGCCCACTAAAATCACAGCCCGGGGCGGATACGTCAGTTTAACACGTACACGAACACAAACAAAATACTTATGAATATCTACTTAACAATGCTTATCCAGCTAATAAACAGGGGCACCCAACGACGGTTTCCTCCAAAATATGTTTAAAACACTTTTTAGGCTATCCAGGGTGTTTTTAGATCTCTAGAAATGCATTCTAGGCAGTACTACAAAATTTTTATCTGTTGGGTCATCCTAGCGGATCTTGAGTCTTTTCGAAATTACAAGGGCTTCAGTATCATTTTTCCGAAAATTTTAGGTGCAATTTAACGCTTTACGAAAAAGAAGATTTTTGTGATTCCTCTCTCCATCACATTTTAGAATCTGAAAATTTTAGGTTTTCTTTTTCTACAAAAAATAGTGTAAACTGGTTAGTAAAATATGAAAAATCAAACTTCAGAAAATCGTAGGGAATTTATTAGTTAAGCTTCGAAAATTGTGCATGAATGGAACGTTCATCTAGAAGTTTTTAGCCGTCCTCAAGTAAAAAAAATTCTAGACAATGTTTGCTTCCTCGAACAGATATTCTACAGGAAACAGTCGTTGGGTGCCCCTGACTAAAAAGACTAAGGGACATGCGCTGTGTTCGTTAAATGAACTTTAAACTTAACAAAAAACAGTATTGTTACGTTTTAGCCAATCACAGCTCAGACAAACTAACGGACGAAATTAGCTTGACTAACTCACAGTGTTGAAGGAGTATCAGAACTAGAGAAATAATATTCTAAATTGGGAAATTTTCTTTTTTATTAACAGTTTTGTGTGCAATTGCGTATTTTTGGAGTAATTTCTTTGACTTCTGTTTCTCCCCCTCCCTCCATTTTTAAAACCAAGCTAACCTGCGATCAGGCGGTCCTTCATCCCTTTTTGTCTGAGAGACGCCTGATCAAAGGTTAAAACAAAGATGGAGTTCCCCTCTGAATAGTTTTTGATGATTTTTTTTTCCGTTTTAATTTCTTCATGATCTCTCTTAATTTTCGAAGTTTCCACTGGTGTCAGGCAGTTGTCACATGTTTCCTCAAGCTTACCAACTTGATTTTTAAATTTCAAAACTAAGTTTAAGGTTTGGTTTTAATAGTGCTACTTATGGCTTCTGTTACTAGCTCCGTCGGCAGAACACTAATTTTCTACACTGAGGCTTTTAAACGTTCTGACTTAAAATTGCTCCAACGTTTGGATAATTTTTTGTCAATGGTACTTTGATTTTCACAGTGGAATTTTTAATTTCTTCTTTAAATAGAGATTCATCAAACGTTATGCTTGTTTCCTCTTTAAATTCTTTTGAAGCAAACTGTAACTTTCGGCCCACAGAAAGCACAGGAAAGATTCATGGGCCAAGGGTGTACAATGCACATCTACTATGAAGGGATGGAAAAGACCCAGGCATAGAATACGACATACACTATGTTAAGGTGTCATTTAAAATATTTAGATATTTTAACTTACTATGCACTAAAACAATTTATGTTCAAGTTTCCTTTATTCACAAGTTTTCTAATTGACTGGCACAAGCCAAAGTTATATCAACTTATTTTAGTATTTCACTGTTATTACTTCAGTGGACAAATTTTTACAGTTTTATTAAGAGAAGCTACCAGAATTTTCCAATTCTTTTTATATGTAGCATAAAATTAAGTGGCAAATAGAAGATTAAATTAACTGCAAAAACCGTGGACGAAGATCCTGCTAGTTGTAAACGCTGGATCTCTAGAAAAGAGATCTAATCAGCCAAAATATAAAGAACCAAAGACGAGAAGTCCAAACTCTTAACTGCAAAGCTGAATTTTGGGAATGAAGAAAACCCTACACTACAGAAAATTAAGACTTGTGAGAAACAGTACTGTAGCATTAGGGGGATTACCCATGGGTACCCCTCTAAGTAACTATTGCACCATATGTCACGTGACTTTCAATAGTTACTTAGAGGGGTACCCGTGGGTAATTGCCTAACGCAACATTACTATTCAACTTTTCCACAAATGTGCCAATTGAAAGCACATAATTCAGGGTATGGAAGGGTATTTTTGACCAAAATACAGCATGGGATTCGAGAAAAATCAAAATATCTCGAGGGGAAAGGGATTTGACTGCTACTTGGAAAGAGGGATACACCGGAATTTGGGCACAGGATGCGGGATTTTCTTGTCTGTTTGTCGGGAATTCGTGATATTGTACATTCTAACAGCTAATGCAAAACAACCAGGCGAGCGTACAGCAGTGTCTACTATCAAAGCAAATTATTTAAACAGTCAAGTAATCAACAGATGAGCAGACAGAAGATCAAAACCCACTGTTTAAACTGGATGCCAGGAAAGTGCACCTGGTACCTTAAAAGTCACATAAATTCAAAATATCAATTGAAAGGGCCAAGCTACATCTTCTGTTAATAAGCTTTTGCAGCAATAAGTCTTTTTCTAACTTACTTATTTTGGGAACTAAAAAACGGGATTTGGGAAAAAGATGTAAAAAGTGTGGGATGTGGTATTTTCGTGACAAAGGAGAAGAAATGCGGGATCAGGATCCTCCCTACCAGACTCTGATAATAATTTTATATCAATAATGAAAACTTTATTTGTGTTTTTGAATGTACAATTGTAAATCTCGCTACGTATAGGCAATTTACAAATACTGCTTGAGATTGGATTATTAAAAAGAAAAAAACAAAAACAAAACAATACAAAAGCCAAAAAAAAAAAAAGAAATCAAAATTGCATTAAGTCTGGGCTATCCCAGTTCCTATTTCTACAACAAAAAGATGTAATATGTTATTCTAATGGCTATATTTATCATTTTCTTGATTATATAAAGTTGCTGCTTTTTGTCAATGCCAAATAATAATAATAATAATAATAATAATAATAATAATAATATACACTAATATATAACACCTTTCTCTTAGTGATCCAAAGCACTTTACAATCAGTAAATACTTAGAAAACAAATAATTCAAATACACAAATACAACATAAACAGGATTTTAAAACCCCAACTGGCAGGAGGCAACCAGTTGGCTGTTTACAAGCGTTGCCAGCCAAGGATTTGAGCTCGGAACGACCAAGAACAAATCCAGCAAGTGGCCAGAGTGGGACTCGAACCCAGGACAGCAGTATTGCGAGTCCGATGCGCTGACCACTCGGCCATGCTGCCTCCCATAATATATAATATATAATATATGCCTCCCATATATCCCTACTAATAACTTCCCCCAGAACTGGGATAAGTTCAAGCAATGGTAATTCTCCTGGATCCAGTCCCTTAAAGAACTTTATTTTGACTTGATGTTTTTATTTAACTCATCACTAGCAACCCGAACAATCTATCCTTATGAAGTCTACCTCAATGTCAACAGTCTTTTTGCGATGAAACTTGTAGCTTGCTGCCAAATTAAATCTCAGTTCAGCTAATACTTCCATATTCACTCCCCATTCTGATGCTTTCTTCTTGATGTGTTCTCTTGTTGCTGTCTTGTGAAGAGAATACACAGCTGTTCTGGTCATACTGATTGCTTTTTGTAAGAACTTCAGATCAATCCCTGGAGAAAAAGACACTAAAAGTCTTAAACATGACTTTCTCACAAAGAATTAATATCATGGCCTTGTTTATCATTTGTCTCATGACAGTCACTTTGTCATTTATTGCAACATTCAAACCATGTCTTGCCGGTCTTCACCATTTAATTTTAATCAAATTAAATTGAACATCCTCAAGTTAAACTAAGGGGAGTTGGCTGACTTCAGCCCTTCATTGAGCATGTGATTAAGCTCCCCCAAGGTTTTTTTGAATATTGTGAGAAAATGCCGACCCCGAAAATTCCCGCCGCACGCGAACAAAACCTATGGTACCCAGGGTAGAAAATAGAGAGCTTGACCCCAGGAATGTTGGCCCCCCTCCCCACCACCCCCACCTGGAATCTAACACCCGTCCATGACCATTATTCTGATGTCTTATCCCTAGAAGACGATCCTAAAAACAACCCTTTTCCCAAGGTTACCTTTATTGTTCTTTGTGCCAAACGGTGGATTCATTATAATCGTGTCAAACGCTTTGCTCCATCTGTCACACGGTGAAAATTCTTGTACATCACACTGAATCAACTCGCATGTTTGAAGCTCAAATTCAACGCAGTTTTTTGANCACTCCCCATTCTGATGCTTTCTTCTTGATGTGTTCTCTTGTTGCTGTCTTGTGAAGAGAATACACAGCTGTTCTGGTCATACTGATTGCTTTTTGTAAGAACTTCAGATCAATCCCTGGAGAAAAAGACACTAAAAGTCTTAAACATGACTTTCTCACAAAGAATTAATATCATGGCCTTGTTTATCATTTGTCTCATGACAGTCACTTTGTCATTTATTGCAACATTCAAACCATGTCTTGCCGGTCTTCACCATTTAATTTTAATCAAATTAAATTGAACATCCTCAAGTTAAACTAAGGGGAGTTGGCTGACTTCAGCCCTTCATTGAGCATGTGATTAAGCTCCCCCAAGGTTTTTTTGAATATTGTGAGAAAATGCCGACCCCGAAAATTCCCGCCGCACGCGAACAAAACCTATGGTACCCAGGGTAGAAAATAGAGAGCTTGACCCCAGGAATGTTGGCCCCCCTCCCCACCACCCCCACCTGGAATCTAACACCCGTCCATGACCATTATTCTGATGTCTTATCCCTAGAAGACGATCCTAAAAACAACCCTTTTCCCAAGGTTACCTTTATTGTTCTTTGTGCCAAACGGTGGATTCATTATAATCGTGTCAAACGCTTTGCTCCATCTGTCACACGGTGAAAATTCTTGTACATCACACTGAATCAACTCGCATGTTTGAAGCTCAAATTCAACGCAGTTTTTTGAGGCGATTTCCAAAGCATCGCTGTCTACATCGAAACCAAAAGTCATAGCACTGCCAAGCATACAAGAACCGATGCTTAAAACTCCGCAACCACAGCCTAAATCACCCACCAGCTTGCCTTCGATGTCACCAAAAGTATTGTCGATTGTGTACAACATATGGGCCGCAATGTGCGGTGTTGTGGGGTACTGTTCAAGATCAACCTTTGGATTTTCGAAGACATCAACCTGTTGAAGATATCCCTCTAGTTCTTTAAGTCTCATTCTGTCAAATTTTACTCGAAGACAACCATCTCTTTCATTCACGCAAATCTGGACTCCTTTTCCGTCAGGCGTTCCTCACCATGATAGCTTAGCTGCCTTTCATCGGTGCTTAGTAGCCGTGCCGGGTGACATGATGGATGAAGTCTGTGAAACGTCAAATGATAGCTTTAAAGTGAAAGAAAGAACAACTTTTCCTTGTCAAACTGGTTGGGTTACGTTTGACGAACCAGACAAGGAGTCAAGAGTGATTGAATGTCCCGCTGAAGAAAAGCCTTCCGAAGAAAATGGACGATATCTTTCACTTTTGGGTAAGTTTGACATCGAAGCGTACGTACATGGGCAGTTCAACGATGTTATCAAAGGATTATTTTTTGGTTATCAAACTTTAAATATAGAAAGCCATATAATTTGTCTACCTTATCATGTAGAAAAAAGGTAGAGGGAAACTCTTGCAAAATATTTGGAATTTTTTATTCCTTCTGGCACTTGACTTCTTCCCCATAAACAGAATCCCCCTTCCCTTAGCCACACCCCTCCCCACCTGCACCCACCGGACTGCAAGCAGTTCATTTCAGGCAGTTGAGTCAAGGCTCTGGCCGTTTTGTGTGTGCTCAATCTGCCCACTTGTGCGACCACTATGCAGGGCTGTCAACCCCCGCCGTCTTCAAATATTGAGAATTGATAGGCAAGGGATGATAGATGATGTCATAACGTACAGCACATTACGTCATTTGTGCCAAAAATACTTATTGACTCCAATCGTCACAAATTTGCGATGACATAAAACGCACAAAAAAGATGTTGATAACATTGTAACATTCAATCTGATTGGTGTACTTCCCACCAATCTCATTATTTCTTACATTTATATTACACTGGCACATCAGACTGATGTATATTGATGTACGTTTGATGTACTGTTAACAGTAAAATAGCTCAAACAACTCAAAATATTTTAAACTTCATTACTGGAAAGTCAAGTCTACAGGAAATGGCAAACTTTGGCAATTATCTGGGAGGTTTCAGACTCTAATCTAGAGACCGGTAGATATGGTCCAAAATCGGGAGTCTCCCAGATTATATGGGAGAGTTGACAGAACCGACTATGAGAGACTGTTTGCAGTCTATCACTTTGGTTCCTGACTTGTATATTAATGGAAAGTGAATTGGTAAAAAATCCAGAGATATGGACTGAAAAAGAGTTTAAAATAAGGCTGGTAAATTTAAATGAAAACATTGTCTTTTTACCCACCTTGGAAAACACAATAAAAGTGTTTCTTTATTTCAGAGAAGGAATTACAGAGACTGCAGGAAAAGAAAAGAAAGCCTTTATCCTCAAAAGACATGATAAAGACATTACAAGAAGCCAAGGAGAGTCACATGAAGGAACTAATGGACAACAGTGAACCAACAGGGTCTTTTGTTATAGTTGAGAGTGAAATGAATGGAAATTCTTGCTGTTTCCCAATGTACAGAGCTTTGTTTCCCAAACAGCCCATAAACAATGAAGAACTTGAATGCTTAGTTGAAGATGATGATCAGCAGAACAGATAACAGAATACTGGATACTCCCTTAGTGCCCATTGGATATTCCTTTAGTTACTGCATTCAATAACTTACAGTTAACCTGCTCCAGGCTTCATGATAGTGGGGCAATGGATCAAAAAAAGTGCAAAAAAATGCTTGACAGCCTTTTCGCTGCTTGTGCACTTTTTTTGCCGCTTGCTTGCTTTTTTCTTACCGAGAGCCTGAGATAGGCTAACTTACAGGAAGACAAATGGCTCACCCCCAGGCAGAACTTTGATTCCTTCAATGACAAATGCCCCCCCCCCCCCCCCCAAAAAAAACACCGACAACACCCCCACGGTGCACGGCAGCGTGTAAAATTAAATTGTCGGCCTGGGCCGGCAATTNTAGTGCCCATTGGATATTCCTTTAGTTACTGCATTCAATAACTTACAGTTAACCTGCTCCAGGCTTCATGATAGTGGGGCAATGGATCAAAAAAAGTGCAAAAAAATGCTTGACAGCCTTTTCGCTGCTTGTGCACTTTTTTTGCCGCTTGCTTGCTTTTTTCTTACCGAGAGCCTGAGATAGGCTAACTTACAGGAAGACAAATGGCTCACCCCCAGGCAGAACTTTGATTCCTTCAATGACAAATGCCCCCCCCCCCCACTAAAAAAAAGCCTGGCAAATGCCCAGGGTTGATTGGCATGTTTAAAATTTGACTGAGCCGTGTGTCACTCTGAATAAGACGTGGGATGTCAGTTGGAACTTGAAGACTCAACCCGTGTGCCCACCTGTGCGAGACTAGTGAAGCCAGAGGTATCATGGGAAGGCTAAGAAAAGGAGCTGAAACTAAAAGGAAGTCAGGATTACAAACGTTTCAAATATATTATTTTAATGAAAAAAAAGCGCAGATTTGTAAAGAAAAGTAGTTAATTTTTGCCGTAAAAGGCAACGGCTCTCAACTATTCTAAAGTGAAAAGAAACTTAACGTGTCAGAAATTTGACAAAATATCGCCTACTTAAGTCTCCTTCGCAGCAGTTTTTGAAGTCGTCACGGGAAGGAGTTTTGCGTGACGAGCCTAAAAACGGTTAGGAAGGAGACTACGGCTACTTTCGCATTTAAATTTCTGGTTTGCTGCCATTTTCAAAATTTAGTTGTTTTAGGTTTAACCAATGTTCTTTAGGATGGAAGAATTGCCGAAACTTGAAATGGCGCCACATTGGAAAATTTAAAGCATAACTAGACGGTTTTAGCATCAAATTTTTAATTTTTTTTTCTCGAGCAATTTAAGGTCGATTTTTTATAACAGGTGCTAGAGTTCCTTATAAAAACAATGATTCATAAACTATGGTGGCAGAATGTATATGCAAAAAAAAAATCGGGCAATAAAATAATGAACCCTTTTTTAGTTTACATCGGACGATAATATACCCTGGGTACCAGAGGGTTTTTCTCGCGTGCGACAGGAAATTTCGTTTCGTCGGCCGAAGACACGAGCGGTGAAGCCGCGAGAAAAAATCTTTTCGCGCCGGTCACTTTTTTAAGACGACCGAAATCGGAAACCGCGCATGAAAAGTCTCTGGCACCCAGGGTAACGATAATACCATTGAGCGACAGATATTCATCTTCAAATTTCGCAGTTACCGTTGAAGCTTCACCTCTCATTCCAGTGAAGTCCAAGTTTTAGGTTTCGCCAGGCGCGAGAAAAATTGAGTTTTAGGCGTGCTTATGGTTCCGTAAAGAGGATCTCATGAAAACCCCAGACCTTCCTGTGGCCATAGCAACAAAACGGCTTTATTAAAATACAAAGACATATTTACCAAAATGACATCGGGACAGCGCAGAACAACTGTTATGGCCACTATACCGATTTACGCTTGGTTTTGTTACCACGGAGAATGTATGATATCCGGGTGGAATGTAATCATACGTTGATCTTAAAAAGTAATGTTCACGTGTAATTTTGAATTTAAATGTAAAAAAAAGACTAAAGGCCAACGTGGAACGAGGTCTCTTCCGCGGTCCTTTCACGGAAATTACTTCATGTCCACGGAGTTTTACAGGGGAGCTGAACTATAATATGGGATCAGAAATCAGCGCTGAGGAAATTAATGATCACCAAAACGGAGACGTGAAAAAAGACGACGATTTGCACGGAAAAGTCACCGAAACAGCAAACGAAAATGACAAAGACAGCAAAACGGCGCAAGAAGAAAGACAAACGAACGGCGATGTTCGCAACAGAAAAACTGGCAGGGCGGGAAATAGAACTAAAGCCGAACTTAGGAAATCTATTCTTAAAACTAAACCTCCGAGCAAGAAGGAACAGCATACATCGGTAGCTTCCAAGTGGCTGTCATCTGTCAGTGCAGGTTTAAATGGCAAAAGTAGAACATCGGTGATGGTGAAATTGCTAATTTTCTTGGCAGTTTTGGGGCTTGCGTTCGCCACAAGATTTTTTAACGTTACCCTTCCGGCGCATATCTGGTTGGTATGAAGTCAGTGTGTGTTTTCAGCTTTCCTCCACAAAAACCTAGGTTTTGAGTTCCATTTTAACCCATGACGGGTAGGGAGGGGGAGGTTGGGAGTTTTCGAAACCCCAGAAAAGCAGAAAACAATACTAAATTAATTATAACTATAGGCTATTTCAAATAACTTTAGACCGCGAGCGGTCGTCCTTCTTTCTCCAGAACCAAGCAAGTGTAAGTATGCAAATTAATGGTGAAAAGGAGGAGAGATTGGGGCGGAGAGTTCGCCGCTTGCCCCTCACCCGTTCTCTCGATCTACTGTGACTCCATAGAAGAATAAGAGAGACTGGTCGCATTCTAAAATAACTTAGGAATGTCACCCGTTTAGTTTATCTCCATTCTAAGTTTGTTTCCCATAAAAACTCTTTTATTACGCTTGGGTCACGTGCCCTTTCCATTAACAAAATTTTGCCACACAGAAATCCGTCTGCGAAAAACTCTGAATCGGGATTTTCCAGTCTACAGTGAATCTACCTTTAAGAGTCATTTTCACTGACTTATTATAATATTTTTATTGTAGCGTCAGTGTATAACACTTTCCCATTTGCAGCTATGTCTAACTGAAGCTTTGCATGGCAAGTCAAAGGAAATAATTTGCAAGCAGACAATCATAAAGACCATTAAACAGTAAAAAACTGCCCTTATTCCCCCCAAAAACAGTGAAGTATTATATTGAAGTATTATAGTGAAGTATTAACACCTATTAACAGTTTTGAGCTGTACACGGTCAAAATATAATAATGAATTTATCATGATATGACCAAAAATCTGGTTGATTTGAACGGCGGAGGACCCATCAAAGCTGTAATGTAAGTTACCAAGCCAACGGAAGTTGTGACGAACAATTCATATTTTTTGTATGTACAAAGTCTGGAGAATTTTCAGTGATAATACATTGTACTTCTGAATTAGAAAGACTGGATTCATGTAGATTTATGGTCTAAAATGTCAATTCCGCCGGAACTTCCCTCATTGCATAGAATGGTATGCCTGTGCTAACTGCGATGACACAGGACAAAAAATACGGCGCTTGCTCGTCGTTCGAGCGTCTCCTGCCGTCAGTGCACGCGCGAAATCGATGAGATTTTGTAGTTAAAGATCAAGTTGGCTAAAACTCAGCAAATTTGCTGAAAATTGTAATAATGACACCACGGAAAGGAGCTTCATCGAAACAAGACAAACACAGCGACAGTGAATCCGAAATGATATCATCGTGTAGGAAGGCAACCGGCGCTCGATCAAACATGGCGAGACCGTATGGGATGTCAGTTGGAACTTGAAGACTCAACCCGTGTGCCCACCTGTGCGAGACTAGTGAAGCCAGAGGTATCATGGGAAGGCTAAGAAAAGGAGCTGAAACTAAAAGGAAGTCAGGATTACAAACGTTTCAAATATATTATTTTAATGAAAAAAAAGCGCAGATTTGTAAAGAAAAGTAGTTAATTTTTGCCGTAAAAGGCAACGGCTCTCAACTATTCTAAAGTGAAAAGAAACTTAACGTGTCAGAAATTTGACAAAATATCGCCTACTTAAGTCTCCTTCGCAGCAGTTTTTGAAGTCGTCACGGGAAGGAGTTTTGCGTGACGAGCCTAAAAACGGTTAGGAAGGAGACTACGGCTACTTTCGCATTTAAATTTCTGGTTTGCTGCCATTTTCAAAATTTAGTTGTTTTAGGTTTAACCAATGTTCTTTAGGATGGAAGAATTGCCGAAACTTGAAATGGCGCCACATTGGAAAATTTAAAGCATAACTAGACGGTTTTAGCATCAAATTTTTAATTTTTTTTTCTCGAGCAATTTAAGGTCGATTTTTTATAACAGGTGCTAGAGTTCCTTATAAAAACAATGATTCATAAACTATGGTGGCAGAATGTATATGCAAAAAAAAAATCGGGCAATAAAATAATGAACCCTTTTTTAGTTTACATCGGACGATAATATACCCTGGGTACCAGAGGGTTTTTCTCGCGTGCGACAGGAAATTTCGTTTCGTCGGCCGAAGACACGAGCGGTGAAGCCGCGAGAAAAAATCTTTTCGCGCCGGTCACTTTTTTAAGACGACCGAAATCGGAAACCGCGCATGAAAAGTCTCTGGCACCCAGGGTAACGATAATACCATTGAGCGACAGATATTCATCTTCAAATTTCGCAGTTACCGTTGAAGCTTCACCTCTCATTCCAGTGAAGTCCAAGTTTTAGGTTTCGCCAGGCGCGAGAAAAATTGAGTTTTAGGCGTGCTTATGGTTCCGTAAAGAGGATCTCATGAAAACCCCAGACCTTCCTGTGGCCATAGCAACAAAACGGCTTTATTAAAATACAAAGACATATTTACCAAAATGACATCGGGACAGCGCAGAACAACTGTTATGGCCACTATACCGATTTACGCTTGGTTTTGTTACCACGGAGAATGTATGATATCCGGGTGGAATGTAATCATACGTTGATCTTAAAAAGTAATGTTCACGTGTAATTTTGAATTTAAATGTAAAAAAAAGACTAAAGGCCAACGTGGAACGAGGTCTCTTCCGCGGTCCTTTCACGGAAATTACTTCATGTCCACGGAGTTTTACAGGGGAGCTGAACTATAATATGGGATCAGAAATCAGCGCTGAGGAAATTAATGATCACCAAAACGGAGACGTGAAAAAAGACGACGATTTGCACGGAAAAGTCACCGAAACAGCAAACGAAAATGACAAAGACAGCAAAACGGCGCAAGAAGAAAGACAAACGAACGGCGATGTTCGCAACAGAAAAACTGGCAGGGCGGGAAATAGAACTAAAGCCGAACTTAGGAAATCTATTCTTAAAACTAAACCTCCGAGCAAGAAGGAACAGCATACATCGGTAGCTTCCAAGTGGCTGTCATCTGTCAGTGCAGGTTTAAATGGCAAAAGTAGAACATCGGTGATGGTGAAATTGCTAATTTTCTTGGCAGTTTTGGGGCTTGCGTTCGCCACAAGATTTTTTAACGTTACCCTTCCGGCGCATATCTGGTTGGTATGAAGTCAGTGTGTGTTTTCAGCTTTCCTCCACAAAAACCTAGGTTTTGAGTTCCATTTAACCCCATGACGGGTAGGGAGGGGGAGGTTGGGAGTTTTCGAAACCCCAGAAAAGCAGAAAACAATACTAAATTAATTATAACTATAGGCTATTTCAAATAACTTTAGACCGCGAGCGGTCGTCCTTCTTTCTCCAGAACCAAGCAAGTGTAAGTATGCAAATTAATGGTGAAAAGGAGGAGAGATTGGGGCGGAGAGTTCGCCGCTTGCCCCTCACCCGTTCTCTCGATCTACTGTGACTCCATAGAAGAATAAGAGAGACTGGTCGCATTCTAAAATAACTTAGGAATGTCACCCGTTTAGTTTATCTCCATTCTAAGTTTGTTTCCCATAAAAACTCTTTTATTACGCTTGGGTCACGTGCCCTTTCCATTAACAAAATTTTGCCACACAGAAATCCGTCTGCGAAAAACTCTGAATCGGGATTTTCCAGTCTACAGTGAATCTACCTTTAAGAGTCATTTTCACTGACTTATTATAATATTTTTATTGTAGCGTCAGTGTATAACACTTTCCCATTTGCAGCTATGTCTAACTGAAGCTTTGCATGGCAAGTCAAAGGAAATAATTTGCAAGCAGACAATCATAAAGACCATTAAACAGTAAAAAACTGCCCTTATTCCCCCCAAAAACAGTGAAGTATTATATTGAAGTATTATAGTGAAGTATTAACACCTATTAACAGTTTTGAGCTGTACACGGTCAAAATATAATAATGAATTTATCATGATATGACCAAAAATCTGGTTGATTTGAACGGCGGAGGACCCATCAAAGCTGTAATGTAAGTTACCAAGCCAACGGAAGTTGTGACGAACAATTCATATTTTTTGTATGTACAAAGTCTGGAGAATTTTCAGTGATAATACATTGTACTTCTGAATTAGAAAGACTGGATTCATGTAGATTTATGGTCTAAAATGTCAATTCCGCCGGAACTTCCCTCATTGCATAGAATGGTATGCCTGTGCTAACTGCGATGACACAGGACAAAAAATACGGCGCTTGCTCGTCGTTCGAGCGTCTCCTGCCGTCAGTGCACGCGCGAAATCGATGAGATTTTGTAGTTAAAGATCAAGTTGGCTAAAACTCAGCAAATTTGCTGAAAATTGTAATAATGACACCACGGAAAGGAGCTTCATCGAAACAAGACAAACACAGCGACAGTGAATCCGAAATGATATCATCGTGTAGGAAGGCAACCGGCGCTCGATCAAACATGGCGAGACCGTGCGATAAAGGGAATGCGAACCTTTCGAGTCGTTTGACAGCTTTTGGGGGACTCTTGCTGCTAGCATTTGTAACTCGTTATTATGGAATTGTTGAACCAGGTCATATATGGTAAGATGATTTGAACGACGTTAAAATTTCCTAAAAGGTTAACAGTGCATCTCAAACAACAACTCGAGCCAATAAATTTTGCGGTTAATTTTGTTCTTGTTTCGATAATGCATAAAATCTTAGCCAGTCTCTTATAAAAACTTAATTGCGAGGATGGTAGGCAAAAATTTGCTCGTAAATATCCAACAAACAAGAGGCAAATGCGATATTTTTTACAGTTCCATACTTTACTGCTGGTACAAATTTGCATGGTTGTGTAGCAACTGTAATTGACGCTGTTTTGAAAGCTCCGAAGCTAATTGTAGTATTTGCATTTGAGCTGTCATTTGTGATGGTTAACGTCGTTGTTTTACCTGCAAAATGTTTTTATCAGTGGTTAAGTTTTTCTTTTTTTTTGTCGGCTGTTTTTATTAGTAAACAGCTGAACACACAAGGTGCCAAATTTACCTGCATTTATTTCCTTGCTTACTCAAGCTTTCAGAAGTTCAAGCTTAGTAGTCAGTAACAAAATCTTCAGCTTGTATTTTGTCACTATCGTGCAAACGTGTTTGTTATCCCTCAGAT